CATCGGCGACAGTGTTTGGCCGGTATACGAGGGTAAGTTTCACATAACCGATGCATTGAGCTGAGAAAAATTTATTTGCGAATTAATTTTCGAATCTGCGCTGTTCTCGAATTTTCGTTATTCCAAACTTTATGCATTCTGAAATTCTTGATTATCTCATTGATCACTCTTGAATTTAGACATCGTTCATTCGGATCTGCTGCTCTGAATATGGTTTATGTTGCCCAAGGTATAGTTGATGCTTATGTTGAGTATGGTGTCCACGCATGGGACATGGCTGCTGCTGGAATCATAGTTAAAGAAGCTGGTGGAATACTCCTGGATCCTACAGGTAATTGGTTTGAAATGAAATTTGAGATATAGTTGCTTTGAGACACTAGGTGTGATTTTCAAATATTTTTATCATGTTGCTGCATTAATCAGTTGAACATACCTGGTTTCGAAATTTGTCGCATCATTTTTCTATAAAATTTTGAGTTGACTGAATCTCCTTGTTCAATATTGCTTGGCACTCAGTTCATTTGGATTAGGTTGTGTATTTTGTTAAATTCAGTTGTATTTTAGGGACTGAATTTGACGTTATGGGTCGTCGAGTTCTATGTGCCTCAACCCCAGAATTAGCTAAAGCTATAGCATCAACTCTTGATCATGTTGAGTACGAAAAAGAAGGCTGAATTTCATTTTCTGCTACATTTGATGCTAGAGTTTTTTGTTTTTGTTGTATTTTTCCATTCTAGGAAACTGAAAAATTTAAGTTATTGTAGAAAGCTAGATATATAGCTAAGAACCTGTAAGATTTATTTTGATGAAACGTTACTATGATTTTTAATGTAAATGATCTCAATGAAGTTCTTGGTATGAAGCTATTAATATTTGTATGTCACAAACTTGAAAGTTCATTCTAGACATGTCTTTGCGTCATAAAATAAAGTAATATAGGAGGCTTGCGTGCATAGTCTTTTGGTTATGACCACTTTTATCTTGTACTGTTTTAAAGAGTCTTCAACATTTTCACGTGTACAAAACGTAGAAATAATTATATTATCTGTGATGTAATGTACTTTTACATAGTTCTGGCTCCAAATTTTTTATTTAACATGCAGGTCACGCGTGATAACAACTAAACAAGTTAATTATTGGGATATAATGTGTGACACGCAACAGGTTGAGGTTCGTCTTTTTCTTAGAATAAGTTTCATGTTTGTCTAGGTTTTTTAATGTTTATGAAAGTCTAATGCCATTTCAGATTTCTGTTTCTAACCCAGTACCACTGAGCCAGGAAGTTCAAACAATTAGTAAAGAGGTCTGTTAGTTTAGTAAGTTCTTGTTTATAGGAACTCATATCATAAGTTCTTTTTTTTCGTTTTTTTTGGATGTTGTCTGTTCAGACAGTAATTTTTTATTCACACAGTGGGACCTGGATATGAGTCCTTGTTAAGACTGAATTATTAGGCTTTGGATAATATCATTGGAAACAGCCCATATCAGCATGTGACAACCAATCATTGGAGCCAGCAAGCTGTAGAAACCATTACCACAAATTTGGTCAAACTCAACAAGCCCTACAAATTTATTGGTGAGAATGCTGTAAGAAGATATTTCTTAAGTTTACACAGTTCCAGACTTCTAGTAAAAGGATATTCGATTGCCGATAATCATTTGATGAGTACATTGAGTGACATTGAAAATGGAAAATTATTAAATGCAATGATCTTCTGTCACCTTCCAGTTTTCTTTCCAGTAACTTGTGTGATTATGCAAACGAACACAGGCGCAGGTCTCAGTGTTTCGAGTACTTGTTACTGGGATAAAACAACTGATAGTAATATTTATTTTTTTTCACTGATAGTAATATTTATAATGTTTTGACTGTACTCAAAGAATTCTTCAAAAGCTTTCTGGAAAATGTGATCTCAAATTACAGCCCTAAAGAACATATTTTTTGTCCATATTTTTGAACTTTTCTTATTTAACGTCAGAATTGAAATTTCGTTAGATAGAAAAGTAAATTATTTCATTGCTGCGATAATATATAGAAGTAGTTAATTTACAACAAATATCTTCATTTTCAGTGTCGTTTACAGTGAGATGGGAGAACAAAGCAGTTGTTACAATTGTTAACGTCTTTGCGGTCGCCATATAATTTCTGTACTCTATTCTAAACACAGTTATTCACAACATTTCAACACATATTATTTGTAGCTGCTGCTTAAGCCATTAAGCTTTGAACAGAACAGATATTTATCGCATCATTGCATACTTTGCGGACGAAGTGCCCTTTTTTATTCCGAATTTACTTTTCGTTATTGTTATTTTTATGACCTTTTCCATTTTCTCTGATTATATATTGTGACACTCGCGACCCGTACCATGGCTTCGACTTTGTTATTAAGAAATTTTGGCTTTGCACATATCTAAAGCTTTCTATATTTTATATTTCATGTTAACTAATTTTCTTTTGAATTGTGTACCGAAGTAAGGTAGAGCAGATATTCCGATTATGTAATTTCTTGCTGCTTGGAGGCGCAAGGAAACCCATATACTACAATTATTGCTGCATTGACTTTACTTTAGCTGATGATAAAAATTTCAGGGGTCAGTGACAGATATGTAATTGCTGCCTATTGTATTACTTCCTGAGAAATTACTGGGAGTTTAATTTTGTATACAGATCAAATTTATTAAAATTAGTAGAAGGAAAGTTCACATGAAGTTCGACACCTACCACCCAAGTACATTCGTAGTAATGCTCACGAGCATGTGGGAATCATATCTGACCACATCGGTGAACATGTAGCTTGTAATCTTATGCATGTACATTCTTGTGTTGTATCACCCAAAAATTGTGCTTTCCACTTCTTACGCACTTCACAGTACAAACTTATATAACTACTGAGGTTTTCCGTTTTCTTCTCCAGCTACTGTTGAATAGTTTCAAGTTCTTTGTTTTCGTTTATTGCTCATTTATCGATTGTTTTTTTCTATTGTCATTAGTACGTATGCAAGAAATTTGATTTTGAAGTAAAAGATATTGTATTTCAATTGATAACGCTAGTGATCAATTCATAAACAAGAGCATTTACGCCATCTACATTACTTTCGAAATCTCTACACTGTGCTATCATATATACAAATAGCTCTTATTTTACTTTCTGTTTTAAGGGTAACTCTATTTGTCGCCTAACTATAGAAATTATACAAGGACCCATCACGGTTACAATGTGACTTGTTCGCAGTTTAATACAAATTCTCTTTACCATGAGATTAAATGTGTGCTGATAAAATGTACAGTAATGTATAGAGGTGGGGATATGGTAAGAAGAAGAAAGTGATGTGAGTTACGGCGTAATCAAAATATCAAAGTTTATATATTACCCAAATCAAGATATCTACTAAAATAAACATGTTTAAAAAGCTCTACAAATACCTTTTACTAGCTAATCTCTGTAAGAGACTTGTCAAGAAATTTAAATATAGTAGCGGAATATTTGCTCACCGAAGTAACTAAGTTTTATCATGTTCCAGAAATTGCGTTCAATATGAGAACTTTGCAGAGCGAAAATTGAACAGTTTTGAAGCAGAAGTACCCGTCATAACTGTGAAAATAAGACAATCAAACTGGTTATCCAATTTCTTCAACCATTTTTATTTTATGCCAACCACTGCCTTTTTTCAAGAACATATGAGCACATTTCTCCATTGAAAACTGTATCACACGAAGGCCAAAATATGCAGGAATCACTATCACTCCAACACAACAAACCAACGGCTGTGAAAAATATAATCGAGCATATATAACAAGGCCTGAATCAGAAACCATCGAGTGAATGATCAAAGGATAAGATGAATTACTGATGGCTTATACTGCAGTAAAAAAAAGTAAAATGTATATCTAAATGGCAGAATATATGACTTTAATAAATAAGCATGGTAATGTTACACGAATCGTGAATCTGATCTTACAATAATTATATTATTTAGTATCTGATACAGTTCATCAGTAAAAATTTCAGATTTTGTGTTCAATATTAATACTCTAAACATACATAAATATTTTTCGTTTTCTTACACTAGTAGAATAAACTACTGATGGTAATGCAAGTACAAAGAAAGGTGATGAAATCCGAACCTTCTTTCCATGAAAAAGCCGACTACATAAAACCACATGAAAAATGCCTGGTCAATAATGAACGCTGGATGAAGCCAATGCTTAGGAATAAGTAGTACGGGAATCAACCACTGTAAACAATACATTTCGTGCGCTTTCTTCGGTATTGTTGATGCAAGGAGAAACTTTACAAATTATTCTAGAAATACTGGAAAAGGATTAGCTTAGACTAGCAAACTTAGGTAGCTTAAGCTATGTACATAATAACAGGTCACGATTTACTAAACTAAACACATTCATTAATATTTAATGGAAAATAAAAATTATGGCATGAGTAAAAAAGACAAGACTATATTTCAAGAGCCTTAAATGGCTTAAGGAACCTAATGATCTGAAACGAAAAATAATATCGAAGTCAATTCCGTGATGTTTACTACAACTATAATCTAGACAACGGTACATAGCTGCCACAGCAAATGTAAACAACACCCAACTGGATTATTTTTGAAGCAAAATATTCGCTTCGCAAATTGGCTCTCAACCAAATTGATGGGCTCCAATTGCATTAAAAAATGCGGCAACTTAAAACCGTGGAAGCAATTCATTATTGGATAGAAGGATTTTTCACTCCATTACGTTTTACTGCTCCATATTCACTGCATTGATTTACCATATTTTACATATTTTTATCTCTTACGCAGTCTTTGCTAATCAAATATTCAGCGTAGTTGAAGTAAGCGTGTGCTATTGATATGAGCACATTTCATTTCCTTTGCTTTCCAAAAAGTATGCTACCTGCCAACAAGTTGTTTGAAAAATTAAATTTAGGCTTTTATAGGCATTCCGAACGAAGTACTGAGAAAAACTCTCTGATTTCAAAATTTTTCATGAGGTAGAATGAAGCAAAGTTTATGAAGTTGCTGGTCATCATCAAAGATTTCAGAAATCACGTGATTTAATTGATTGTATATTGTTAAGCCGGACACCCTGTTAGTTAACTCTAAGACGTTTAAGGTATGTTTCATTTGTTCTGAATATAAAGGTTCATCTCATAGAGCAAAATGAGCTCTACCATGACTGTTTGCGGGTTGCGGAGGATTCGAAAATGACTGTGAGATAACATTTTTCTCAACAAAATTCGCTTGCAACGATATTTTGAAGCATGAATACTCTGTATAAAAAGTGCTCAGTACTAACAGAGCATTCTGTCTTCTCTCTCTCATTGATATGCATGTAACACTGTGCTTCTCTAATGATTTCCATGCTTTTATGTTAGGACAGTTTTTATCTCAAAACTGTTTTACCGGATCTGCCATCTCAGTATACTCTGCTTTCCATCAAGCGATGACGCACTGAGTGCTAGCAAGTTAGCTTATAGCTTTAAAAGACCATTTTGTCTCATTCGTTCAATTTTTATTATATTTAAGTCATTATTACACAGTATAAGCCTATCGCACTATTGTTTACCACAAAAGAGCGACTGCATTTCGTAAGTAATGAAAAATTCTGTATACTTGTTGTCCTAACATTTTTGTATCTAAAAAGCTGAAGTTAAGAGTAGAAGCAAGCGAGGAACATTTCTAGCAGACGGATGAAACTATCGATTCGATCAAATTTAAATAAACTGATGCTTTACTGGTCGTAATGCTCAAAACAATAATAATCGACTGGATAATTTGTGAACTTGGACAAATATGTGTAGAAAACGTCTGCAAAATAAAATAAATGATCTAAAATTCTGAGTTATCAAATGATAAATCAAAAGTAATCAATGCGTTCATTACTTGTTATTTCTACGGAAATAATTTGCGCTAAATAATGTTCTAGAAGAAAATAGAAGCTGTGAGGTCAGTGTATTCAAGATGAGACTCACCGATTCAAAAAAACAAAAAATACTAAATAACTCTTTTTATCATTTTTTACACTAAGCATAAATGAAGAATTGCCGCTAAGAATGAAGGATTTCCAATATAGTTAGTAGTGAGATAAAGGCTTCATAAAACTATAAATTTTCTTAGATTGTTTAAAGTAAATCAGCCAGCAGACTTTCTCGATTCTTTTCATTTATCATTTGATAAATGACGAAGATTTGTTACCAAGGAGTAATCAGGATCATTTATCACTGAGATGAACTTGTCAAGCACGTTTTAGCTTGACAGCAACTGCTTACTTGTCAAGTGTGACTATTGGCAATAAAAGCAGTAAAAGCGCTTCACGCATGCACAAATAAACTTTCAAATATTTACTGGAAATTCTTTTCATCTCAAATATTATCTAAGGATGAATGAAAGTGTTCTGCATTCAAAACACTTTCATTACGTTTTCCAAGTTCATAAGCAATACCTGACTTGTTAGAACGATTCATTCTGCTCAAGAAAAACTTAATACTTTGTATGATTTGGGGTCAAAATATGCACATATAAATTGACTGCTGTAAAAGCTATGCTTCGGATTCAAAAAATTGGCCTTCGATTGAATAAGTCGTAAGCTAAAAACATTGAATAACGAGTAATGTTTTGTCGATTTCATCGTGGATACTTGTGGAAGTTGATAAGTTGCGCGCAAATCTCATTTCATGTATAGTGCTGAGATTTCTATCACAGTTAGACCGATGTGAACTTTACGACTCTTCTGATACGCTGTCCAGTTCTAACATTTTTAACTTGAGAATGGCAAGCATTGTTTTGCTGACGTCTAAATAAAATTGTTATTGACTTTAATCTGTTTTCACTGTTAATTCAATTTGTGCCTAACCTCTTGCTAAAAATTAACGATGTGTCTAAATAAAACGTATAGTACTTTCGTTTGAAAAAAATTTGAACATAAGCTCCTATTCATATTCAACAATTCATGATTGTTTCCTGAAGAAAATACAAACGACCATTTTGTTGCGATTACAGAATTTCGGTAATAAATAACTAGTAATAATAAACAACATGATGACTATAACTATGTTCATTTAATTAATCGTTGAAATTAGTCTGTTTTGCTTAATTATGTTTTATTGTGAAAAATGTTACTTAATTAGACGCTCTGGATGATCAACGGAGTTAAAGTGTAGAATTACAACTTCATTCGTTTATGATTTACACTGAATTTAAAACAAAAAGCAATGCTGAAGCCAAGCTAGCACTGAAACCAGTTTAAGATCAAGTACAGACAAGTTACCATGCAAAAATGTTAGAGTGATTTGTGTTTCTGCTCCTCAATACATCTAAAGATGAGAAACAAAAGTTGGATAGGTACAAACCATAAGTTAAATAATATAAAATTATTTAAAAATACACCTGTTTGGCATATATTAATACACTGAAAGCTAATTAGTTCAGTAAATCTCTCTGATTACAAGTAAAAGCAATTTGTTTTATTGTGCGAAATGTGTTCACGCAAATGAGACTAGACAGATCTTGCTCCACTCAACGAGTTCTACCAGCAATTTAAAAAAATGCTCAATAACTCACCAAAATGGCTCATTTTTAACGATATGTAAACACAATAATGAACACATGTTTATCATTGTTGCTTGCATTACTTTTTCAAGTCATCAAATCGAAATTTGAAGATCTGAAAATATTAACAATTGTGATACTTGAAAGCTTTAAACATGTCAAGAATGATTAATCGGTAAATAATAGTCCTTTTCCTGATTTAAATTAGAGTTCAGAGTTTATACATAGTGTTATCGATTAAAAAATTGGTCGATAAATGAAACCTTACAGTAAACTGAAATAAATTACAATGATCTTTATAAGAACTTCTGAAATATTTAAAGGTAAAGGTGATAAGTGACAAATCCGTTTGTCACTTACCACCTTTATCTTTATAGAAAACATATCGGAAAGATTCTGCGTCATTTCTGCATTACATCAATCAATCCTTTGCGAATACTGTCATTTTTCTTCCTTTTCTATTATACATCTGACACTTCTGAGAATATACCAAAATATCTATAAAAAGTTGTAGACATGATACTATCTCTCGTAAAAATAATAATTTACCCCCTTCATCCCTGCTATATAATGAAGACATTAATTATTAACAGTCCAAAAAACCATTATGATAATTAGATACTGAAGAAAAAGCAATACCACATTCAGAAAATACTGCATTTGAGCAGTACTGACCTGATGAATGACTTCAAAATATACATTTACTGAACATTTCAATGCGTATCAGTTCAAAGAAATCCCTGGGAATCAGTCTTGCACACATAACAGTTGTTCTTCGCATTTCCAGCCTAAACATTGTCCCACTCTGTGACAATGATCAAACTATAGTCAGTGATCAAACTTTACCACTGAAATTGAGGTACACAACTCCATACTGACCATTTCAACACCACTACATCTTCACCACCATGCCTTTTAATTTTGGTCTTCAGGAAATAAGCAAACACATACAAATATAAGATGCGAAGAATTAAGACAAAACCAGCTATGACCCACAGAACGTAACCCCTGCTATTGCAAACATCACATTTTTATACCAAAGAAACTTCTGAAACTTGCAAATTCTGGTGAAGATCATGGTAATTTTGTGCTTTAAAAATATTGTTTTATTATAAAGAATAATATAAAGCAATGGTATCTAAAATCAACACAATTGCACGCAACAACAATGGCCATAACCAGTCAAACAAGCAAAGATGACTAATTTGATGCTTTATCAGAAATCAAAAAGAATAAATATAATCTAAGATGAGGAACAAAGAACTGGAACAATTATATTAAAAGTGATTCGAATACTAATTTGAAACGGTGTTTCAATTAAGATATTATAATCGTAATGAAAGTTGAAAGCAAACAGTTAGACAAAACATAACTTTATGATGCAAGACAAATGAGGTGCATACCAAACAACAAATTTAAGCGAAGGATTAAATGTCCCTCTAGCAAAGTAGATTTACTGTAGTAATAAGAAATACGGGAGCTTTATTTTTAGATCTCTATTGGAATTAACTTAAAAAAATAATTTTCCGGAAATACTGGTTGATAACTTTAAAACAATCATGCATCTTACAAAAATGATGAATAAAACATCTAACAAAAAAAAAACAACGAATTTTGAACGACTTGAAGGATTACTTTCAATTCCAATCAAATAACCGCTTCGTAATGTGAACAAAATTTTAGTCCCACTTAATTGCAAAGATAAGATTCAGTTTCGAATAACTTCACGTTTTTCTATTTCAAACAAAAATAAAAACAACGGTAAAATTTGAAATAATGAATAAAATACAACAAAAAAAAGATAGAGAAATCAAAAGAGCAAACTGCGACCCCAAAATACGTTACTGCCATTCATATGCGAAACTGAGACATCAATGCTTCCCACATTTATTCCGACCATTTGGAAATTTGCAAAATTAAATTCAATATGGTGCGAAAACTCCGCGACGTCTGCAATATAATGTTTTGGATTTTAAACCCGAAATTTCTGGAAAAGTCACAAAATAAAAAACACGTACATATAAGCAAACTGGTACTCACTTGAATTCTTCTAAATCACAGTCAATAATGTTACTACTACCTGGTTAGCCGCCTGGCCCGATAGCCCGCATAAATATATTTCACGATAACACGTGCGCCTGCTCGACCACGTCCACGTGGAGGTCGATTTGTACTACTTACACCTGGTCGATTCGTTCTTTTGGCACAAACCTAGAATCATTATTAAAAACTGCAACTAATATGTTGTCCTTTTGCTTGCAATAAATTGCATTAATAAAGTTATTCTTGATAATACAAAAAAAAATCTACATGACCACTATAACAGATCAATTTAATGACGAAAAAGTTTGAAGAACTGACTTTGATCTGTCTACCTCGAAACAATGACTCATCAAGAGCTAAAGCAGTCTGCACAGCTTCTCTATCGGAAAATTCAATGTAAGCAAACCTAAACATACAGTTCATTACAATATTTGCGTATTAGTAAATTACTCAAATGTTTCCTTACAACAGACGAGTAGAAGTAGCACATATTTTTCAACACTGAAACTTTAAACCATCATATCCATGTTTTTTTAAATAAAGAATTTATAAAGCACCAAATGCTTGCTGAAATAATAAGCAAACTGATATCAAGGATAATTTGACACATGTAATAAATATGAGATCAATAAGATACCCTTTAGGATGCCCTGTGAATTTGTCTGTCAAAATCGTTACTCTATTTACGGAACCGCAACCATGAAAATGAGCTTCCAGTTCTTCGGCAGTTGAACAATAGTCCACCTATAATGGAAATTAATTTCAAATAAAAGTAAGCAACACTACAAGAAAAGTGAAAAACAAAACACTATTTCATTTTGTGAAAATCGAAAATGAAGGAGCATACATTCCCAACATAAATAGATCTACTATCAGCTTCAATTTTGTCTTCGATGGAAGCAACACTTTGTGACGTATTGCTGCCTGTGCTCATGTTCATCTGTTTTTCAACATCACTTTGCATCTGGCGTATTAACTGCGCCTCTTCCTCTATTTCTTTCATACGACTTGTCAAAGCATCCATATCCTGAAACATGATATCATTGAGTAAAAGCTGAAACTTGCAGGATAGCTGTGACAATTTTGATAGCGTAAAATGACATCGAACAAATTCCCAGTAATTCTGATAACTCATACAATACTTACAACAGCACCTGAAACTACTACGTGCCAGGCACAATGTTCGCAGCAAATATAAAAGTGTATTAAAACTAGTGCATAATTACTGGTGGTGATAGGAGAGACACAGATAGGCAGAATGCACTTAAAGAAATAGTAACAAAATTTCAACTATACTAACAGGATCCTCGCTCATATGATCCGTAGATGTTAGCAAATCACTACCATTATCCAAGATATCATCTTCTTCAAGACGTATACCACCCTCATCAGCTGGCATTCCGGTAGCCATATTGCTATTGCAAGTACAATCTGAAGAAAAAAGTCCAGAAAAAGGAAAGTAACTTTATTACATATACCGTAGGACCGAAAACTAGTTCCACAATCTACCCTAAGGACACTAGATCTACACATAAAACTACACCTAACATAAGCACAATTGAATAACTGAGCATCACTAAATCAAATGCTTACTTTCGTTGTCTCAGTTCCAGACAATAATTCTTCTACAGTTGAAGGGCTGTATGCATTGGTACAGTTATAAATCTACCACAAAAATCGACACTTGCTGAAAATTTGCTATATGTTTACCCGATTTTAGAAAATTTTTTGAAGACTTGTCCACATCCATCACAGATGCACTGCTACTCAGGCAGTACTCCTATCTTACGCTGCTACAGGTATTTTCGTTGTAAGAATCGCAATCCTTTATAACAGCGATGTAAATGCTTAATCTTTGACCGAAAAGTGAAAAGCTACCTGCTACATGATATTGTCAAAAAACCTATATCAAATTTTATGTATTAAATAATATAATGCCGAGCAATTCTAAATTTATTGCTTAAAAACTATTTTACAACATATGCTAACTTTAACCTTAGTTAATTATTCCTATGAAAAAGTTGCATAAAATGGACTGTGTTGCTTAGTGAATCAGCGCAGATGAAAAAATAAACGCGGCTTCTGTAAGTGCTTGCAACTATGCGTGTGCTAGTGTGAAATTCACGTACACGTAACTTAACGAGACTTAAAAGCCCAAATTTTCCAAGTGATAAATAACTGTTTCACGTTACATGCAGTGTACTTTAACGCTTTTGACTTGCTTTTGTACATAAAATACCTATTTCAAATTTGTACCTACAGATACTTTTTGACTTCAATGTGACTAATATTAGTACAAGGCGTGAAGTGCACTTATTAATTAATTAGCATAACAAAGCATAATAATGACCCTACTCCACGTGGGTACAGTAGTGTCTACGCTACAAATTAAAAAAACCGATCTGTACCCGAAAAAAAGTGGTGAAAATACGAATAGCAGATCGAAACACATTCAAGAAACCTCTCAACAGACGTGAAATTAACTAATGGGTATTTTACGGTCCAGCCTCGCTTTTTAATAGTATTTTGTTAAGATATTATTCAACCGCGTTTTCTTGCTTCATTTTTCTGATAGAGTTGGGGTTTGTCATGTTGAGAATTAAAGGTGGCTGGATGTAGAATATTTGGAGGTTCCAGAACTTGGTAGACGATGTCTTGGTTCAAAAAAGCAAATTGTAAAGGTATAACTAAGTTTGCTATTTTTGAAAAAATTTTTCATCTGAAGTGCTTTCCTTCACTTTCCTTTCCTTTCTTTCATTTTACAAACTACACTTCGCAAGAATAGGTAATGTGAGCAAGTTTTAGAAGAAATGCGTTCTAATGAACGTGCTTTGCGTCGCACTAACCGAGAAATTACTAGTGATCGAAGATTTCTGGAAGCAAAGGAAAAAGAATTGGTATTATTTTGACTTCTGAGTAAATAAGTGATATCTCTTCATTGAAGTACTGAAGCTTCTTACCGACTTGAAAAACCTCACCCTTTTTTTGATTTAGGAACTAGAGATCAAGAAGCTAGCAAAGCAAGGCCAAAAAGAAGCCTATACAATTCTTGCCAAACAGTTATTAAAATTACGAAAGCAAAAAGCTAAAAGTTGCAGTATGACTGCAACAATAAATGCGATGAACGTAAGAAACAGGTTTTACATGACAACTTTCTAGTTCATAATTAATGTTTTAAGTACAGAATTTCATTTGCCTAAGTTAACAGATTGATTTGGAGTGAGGATGCATCTGGTTTATTGTAATTCATGTATTTTCTCTTTTTTAACAGAAGTTATTATTCAGTCGAACTGATGAAAGAGTAAATTCGATGTTTAGGGAATTATTCAGTATGACACGAATGACCGATGCCATGGGTAAAACAACTAATACCATGAAAACTATAGCAAGTCACTTGCCTCCAGATAAATCGGCCAGAAATCTACAAGAATTTGTAAAGACTCAAGAGCATCTTAGTATTAAAAATGAAGTATGGTTTCTTTATCTAGCCATCATTCAAATTTTTGCTATTTTAATTCAGGCCGTATGAAACTGCAAACTACCAAGACTAAGATATATTTTGTTGAATCTTCGATTTTAGTAATAAATTACTAGTAAATTTCATGAGGGAATTATCTGAAATTTACTGTAATTAGTAATAGGTTTATGCTGTATCTGGATAATTGGTCATGATTTAAAATTTTGTGGTAGATGCACTTTTTTAGTGATCTTCAATGGAAAGTATTCTAAAAAACAGTCTGTTTGTAAATATATTAATTAGTCAAAAATTATAGTTGAAAGGGTAATTTAGACTGTAAAATCAGTGAAATTAATCTAGGTGATGGGATTACCCTAGGAGGAGCATGTATTCAAAATTATACAAGCTCCTGTAAAAAAAGGATGAGGTAAAGATATCTTTCTCTTTGAGTCGTGAAGATAGTTTTGCCAATTTTTTTTCCGACTTGAAAGTGTCATGAGATTACAATGAAGTTTTAGATGGTTTCTGATGCACTCGATACTTTGTTAGACGATTCAGGTGATGATGTCGAAGAGGATCGAATTGTAAATCAGGTTCTAGAAGAAATTGGAATAGATTTGAATGCGCAAGTAAAATTTCTTTCTGAAGTCATCTTAAGCTTTCATAGTATTGTGTATGCCAGATTTTCAAAGTTTCGTTCCCCTTTTTCGACTAGAATTGTCTTAATTTATTTAGTTATCGAAGCTACCAGCGATACCTGCATCAACGGCTACCGCAGTTCAACCTTCGAATGAGATAGGTGATGACGATCTTGAAAGCATGTTGAAGGATTCATAGAATTGAAAAATTTCTTTAACTGTAATATCAAGCCTTGAATACTTCAGAACCAAACAGTTTCCTCCAGTCTCTTTGACTTTCGATAACTTGTCTTGAGAAAAAAGTCAAACATCATATGAGATAATGAGCGTCAAATTCAGTGGTAATAATGTCATTTACCGCGTAAATCTGTGAAGTAATATGTATATGAATTTGCTTATTTGAAACAATTTGTAATTTTAGCCACCACTTCTTCTTTGCAGGATAAATTAAAGTTTGTAAAGAATTTTATTGATTTGCACCAGAGATTTGCTCAAGTTTAAAAATTTTTTGGGATCTTCTTCGAAAGTTGGTAGATGTGAGACTATGATACAATAAAGTCATTGTGTGACTGGTCAGTAATTATCAAGTTGTTATTTTCACTAGCATTTTCTCTAAAGTGTTGTCTGTTCACATGCAGCGTGCCATATAAATAGCAAGTTTCTATTATTTCATGACTTACTACCTAGCGCATGTAGCTCTTTATTAGTGACCTAATATTGCAAGACGTAATGTCCGTTATTTTTCATTTATTTCAGAAAATCCCACATTCTCATTATTGTCTAAAATGGTAAACTTTTGTTAAGTGATGAGCTTAATATTATCACTCAAAGCATAAAAAATAGTTTTAACAATTACGATAGTATCTCTGGGGAATATTTTTTGCTTTAATATTTTTGGCTAGAAAGTACAAACCAATTAATAAATGATTGTATTGAAGTCTTTATTCATGCCATTTATCGTTTAGATTTGTTAAAGTAGTTATTAGCCTGACACGATAATGAACTGTTATCGAATTGAATAGTCTGAGCTGACTCAATGATGTAAAGCTATTATGAAGAAAAGTAAAGCAGTAGATATTTCTGACATGTCAATTATATGCACAAACTCCATTATGTATAGTCTGCAAACCGGATAATTAAGACCTCTAGATTACAGGAAGATAGCAATTTTCATGATTTTCCCAACAGCTCGGATTTATACTCGTAGTTCTAACATCGTGACCAAAACGAGGATGTCTTTCATGGTGAGTTATGTCTACCAAATATTTTCATCTTCTGACCGTAGTTTTATCATATATTTTTTCTAACTATTTTGTGTCATATGCTCTTTAATTTGTCATTGCGGACACTCCGCTAGATTAACGTTCTGAAAACTACTTAGTAATTGTTATTGATCGATGTGCTTCAGTACTTTAAGTAAAAGTTTTGCTAAATGCAGGATCTATAGTAATTATCAATTCAAAGTTCTTTTAGTTAAAATACTTTACTTGAATTAGCAAATAAGTTTCACTTGAAATGGGTTGCTGCTCTATCAGTAACTTATAAGTGTGCATTCTGCATATGGATCTAAATTTAGAGTTTAAATGATCAACAGAGAGAACAGTTACTGCAACCATTGCTTGAAAAAGGATGGAAAGTCGTTAAAGGCCGCGATGCGATTCAAAAGATCATCAGATTCAAAGATTTTAGCGAAGTAAGTCCAGAAACTTTTTTGATTTCATTCATGAACTCTGTGCAAGATTTGCAGGCATTTGGCTTTATGACAAGAGTTGCAATGTATGCAGAGAAAATGAATCATCACCCTGAATGGTCCAACATATATAACAAGGTGTTTCCAACGCTTAATACACAACTTCAAAGCACTTGTTTACAAAGTATTTTGTTACTTATAATATGAGCTACGTGGCATGTCAACTTGAAATATAGGAAAAAAGTTTTGAAGATGCATTAAATCTGAACATTTATTGCACTAACAATATTTTAATCAGTTTCAGGTGGAAGTGACCTTAAATAGCCATGACGTAAACGGTTTATCAGAAAGGGATATTGAATTGGCAAAATTTATTGAGAAACTGTGCAATCAATAGAACTTATTAGTTACAGCTGTATGTATCGTTGAGAGTCATGCACTCCACAGTCGACTTCTACATGGTTTTGTAAACTGCAAAATAGATTTCATGGGGTAGAAAGCCTATTTTCTTTCTGTGCATTCTATCTTTACATATAATATTTTGTTACTGATGATAGTAGAATACATTTGTACTGGATACAAGCATACAGCATGATACTATATCAAGGTACGAATTACTTGTCATCTCGTGTTGAGCAAAGAAAAAACTAGAAACCTATTAAAAACAGTATCAGAAATTATTAATTCAGACAGGAACAGTCATTTCATAGACATACACCATAAATAAAATTTTTTAAACAAAATAAATCATCTTAAATGTACTATGCCTCGTCCACCATCAATTCTCAGTAGATCACCAGTAATGAAAGACGATTCATCACTAGCTAAAAAATAAATGGCTCTCGCAACATCCTTAGTAGTTCCACTTTTGCGAAGTGGAGAGTATTTCGATGTTCGATCAATAAACTGAAATTCAATCACCATATGAGAAATCCGAATAACGGAATAACGTAAGATTTATGATACATCTGATTATATAATACTGCCTACTATCTCATTTACACTTCCGGCACAAAGATATGTATCGAGTTCGAATGGATCTGTGAACCGCATTTGTCTTTCATTAATCAGTGAAAAGTTCAGGAAAACTTGAAATGGGAATTAAAAGCATAGAAAGTTTACCTCTTGGTATTTCTTAGAATCCATACCGGATCTTTTATGTAATTCAGTGATAATGACTCCCGGACTGGAAATAGAAACAATGGTAAGATTCTTGAAGTACTATACACGCAAAAAATCCAAAATTATAAAAATGGAAAAAAATATTACTTCACTGAGTTCACTCTAACCCCTTCAGGACCCAGTTCAATTGCTAGGCATTTTGTGAATTGATCAAGAGCTGCTTTTGACATGCAATAAAATCCCACGCCTCCAAACTGAAAGAAAATATTTGCAATTGCGAGACAGTAAGTCTTCTTCGCATTGTTTATTATTCTTTTAAAAAATTATAGGCCTTCTATACTAAAAGATGTCATGAATTCTTTATTTATAAGAAAAATAGCAAGTTAGAGAAATTTCAAAGTTAGGTACCACTGAATTAATAATTCAAACGGGGAGTTCGTAAGTTATATCACCTGAATAAAACATCAGATCTTAGGATTTTGAAATATTGATATGGTGATAAAGAACAGTAGAAAACTAACGGAACAAGGACCATTGATGCTACTCACGTTCACGATTGAACCTTTGGTTTTGATAAGATGTGGAATAGCTTTCTGAGTCAGTTGAACGATACTTCTGACATTTGTATTCATTAAGTTGTCATAATCTTTCATAGAACAGTCTTTCACGTCTCCTGAAATACAGTGCCATGGTAATCTGTTGATTATCGCGAAGACTGCAAATTAGGACCATTAAAACTTTTAGAACGATATTTTACCTGAGATCAAAGTTCCTACACCATTAATCAAAGTATCAATTCGTCCAAACTTTTCCATCGTACGTCCAATGAAGGATGAAGCAGTATTTTCATCAGTTAAATCCCCTGCGGTAATTAAAATCTAAACATAAAAAACTTAAACAACAAGAAGACCAATTTTTTAATTTTTAAAATACAAACATTTAATGTGTAGAACGAAAACCTAGTAATTCCAGTATTTATGCCTCATTTTCACGGAATTCACCAAAATAAGAGAGATTTACTACGAAGCACTGTATGCAAATAATCTGCAACATGAAAATAGCATTACTTTTACATTGAAAATGAACTGATGAGCTGCTAAATTGGATAAGAGATACCGAATCTTTGCTTAAGCCTTTCATATTGCAGTTATTCATTGTAGTTTCTAGTCCCCTTTCATTTCGTCCACTTAATGATAAACAATAACCTTTCTCAGCAAAATATTCTGCTGTGCATCTACCAATTCCAGAACTAGCACCTGTTAACAAAGAATACGCTAATGAATGTAAAATTCGATGGAAATCATTGCTGGTAATTACAGTAATAAAACATCCAGTTATGTAAATAAAGCACACCCTAGATAAAAATAGCTACCAAAATGCCCTTGACATCAAAAAATTTGCTTATGAATACCTGTGATAACAGCTATGAGACGTCTAGCTGGAATAATAGCCATCAGTGTAATTAACACACTTTTACCTGAAAATGATTCTCATCAACAATTAATTTGTGAGCAACGGAATGAGAAATTATAGAGAGCAATGCAGCAGAAGCAGTAAGTAATTAAGTGGAAGGTAACAATGCGCCGCACAACGACTTGCTAAATATGCAAGTAAACTCAAACTGAAAACATCACGAGCATTTCTATGTACGGCTGTTATTCAGGTTGCGGAAGAATACTGGCACACAGGTATGTGCAATTCTTGTTTTCAGTACGGTGAGAGTAAGTTACTAGCAAGTTATAATGCATAGTTCACTTCGCTTACCACTAGAACTTCGTGTATTTATTAAATTAAAAGGTTATTGGGCTGCAGTCTGAAGTGCTTCATCCTAAGATTGAAGCTCTCCGTGAATTTGCTTGCGTAACAACATGATGAATACAAACAGAATATCTGTATCATAAGAAGCAGTAATTCAGTAGGAATAATTGAAAGTTAGTGAATGTTTTCACTCACTTAACTGCCGTTAATTCGCGACTAATTTCTTGACTAATCCTTCCTCTGCAAGAATACGTCCTGATTATTCCGCACACGTTCCCTCGTTGTTTATAACTTTTTTAATTCTTGTGTTCTCTTAAGATTTAGACGTACTCAGTGGGTAAGTGGAAGAAATGCATCCAAATAAACAAACAAATCAGATCTTGTGGGCTATAAACAAGGACGCTTCTGTAGCAATAGCATTTTAAACTTTCACGTTCTTCTGTACTATATTGAAGTGGCCAGCATTCGCCTTTATTAATTTGTGTCACCATAAGACTTATAGCTTTAAGTTAGGCTGATAACAAGCGATATCTGAGGTTATGTTTACTTTTCAACAACTTTATTTTAATGCATAATTAAGTGTAAGTATTTTGAGGAGGAGATGAATATTTTAATATTTACCCGAATTTCTTTTGTTTCGATAAAGAATGCTAGTTTCTTATATATATATATATATATAAATGTCTAAGTAAAAAGACGTAAGCATAACCGCTTAAACAAATGCTTGAATAGAACTAGACAGGACCAAACGGAATATGAAGAGATCTGAATAGTAAAATAAATAATTCTGTACAAATTAATGGAGTAATCATAGTAACAGGGATAAGAACGTTGCACTGCATTTCCACAATAATATCAGTGATACGATCAATGAACAAAAACAGAAATACAGTATCGATAATATAGATTATAACGATACATTATCATATTTTGAAGAGCATAAAAAGTTTTAAACTAGTGCATACTGAGTTTTCTGTTCGTTTGAATTCTACACTTTGCACTCGATAGATTCACGCTTGGTCGGCTTTTCAATGAACCATGAATGTTCATTATTAAAATTGTTATCTATTGATCTTATTCTCCAAGTGTATGGATATGTATGTGATCCATACTACACACGTGATGAATTAATTATATTACATTTGCGATAACAGCGATAAGCATAATAAAAGACAGTAAGAAGTGCAAAAGGTACAGTATCTTACGATATTTTGCACTGTTGGAATTTTATTTGTAAAACTAAGCAATACATGACAAATTCATGATCAATTTTTCAAGTTTAGTAAATTTCATCGATTTGTTTCAAAATTATTCAAAACAAGTCAGTAGGAAGTGTTTTTAATAGAAAATACTTGATCATAGCTCTGTTTTTGGGTTTCTCAGTCAAGATATGACTAGAGAACTCTAGGAAACTGAAGGAACTGAATGACACTGACGATAAAATATCAGATTGTACTCATCAAAACTACGGCCGCGTTGAGATTCATTCATACTGCAAGATTCCGTACTGTATCCAACTCGGAAACGATATGCACTGTGCATGTAATTTCCAATCGGTAACTCGTATATTCCTTCAACTATCTAAAAATTTATCAGTACTATTATATTATTACAGTGAATTGAGTACAACAAATAAGAATCAAAATCATCAGAAAGCAAATTCCATGATTTTAATATTTCTTTAGCTAAAAAGCTCAGAGTTTTCTTGAATTAATTCACGGAAAATTATAAAGGAACTAACTGATATTACAGATTAATAAAAAGTGTGCTGAAATAGGAATACAAGTCATTTAAAATTCAATCAGGTTTTTGGCGCGAACTATTTCGAACAAGAACAAATAATTTTACAGGGAGTTGCTTTTTTCCAGATATTTTAAACAAGTTTGTTATCAAGTAAAGTACTTTCTGAACATTTGGTTGTTTTTCAATTTCCACTTTCACTACGTGCTCGTCACTGCATGGCTTTTGATCGAAATCACGCAAACTACCACAACTGTCAACGTGACTATCAATACTTTCAACACTAAATGAATAGAATTAAACTTTGTAATCTCGACTACGGTTTTTTATTTCAAAAATTTAATAAAATACAGTACTTAAAAGACAGAATTCAATAAGTGAAAATATTTTTAAAAAAGTTTAAAACAATTTGAAAAGATTTAAGGTGCTCTATTGTAAAATCAGATAATTTTAAAATTATGCGCACTTTTTTGGTTGCATTTGTAAAAACCAAAAAGTTATTTGCGAAAAGAGACTTACTCAAATTTGATCTCTAATGGAACAGTTGGCATCATAGGTGAGATTGGTATATAGAAATTATACAGGCCCCGCTGAGGTTTACAACTATTACCGATGCAATATCGACCATCAATTGTAATATTAAAGTCCAGTATTTCAATATTAACATTTGATGGTAATGGAGGCAAAACTAAGTGCTGATCACGGAGTCGAGACTTGATTTCTCGTTCATTCCTAGCGAATAATAGAGATTGTTGTCGCTCAATTTCAGCCAAATCCATCAGCTCATCATCCTGAAACGAATGTACACTAATTATAGTCTGAGATTCACAGACTGATCATTGTGCTAATTTTTGTCAATCACAATAGTTCACTCTCCATTCACTTTCTAATTAATATTTTGGCATAGTGAAATGATATTTTTTGAGTGGTTAATCTCGGAAATTATGAAGTATCACACGCAACATTTGTGATGTGATTTGAATAAATATGAATGGAATATAGGAAAATAGCAAATAGTACCTTAATAATAATATCAGCGGTAGACGTGCTGTGAATATTACGTTCCATGCAACAGTAGCTGTGGCAGTGCATGTGATTACAAGGTGTGCTCAGTAAAGGAACATTTAGTTGGATTGGTGGCTTCCAAATATCACTATCTTTCAGCTGAACAATATGACCGATTTTGCCATTCTGATCCATAACTGATGGATCAATTGTTGTTATGCCATTAGAATTATAACCTCTTTTATGATAACCAAATGTTCGGTTATGCCAGTCCAATACATACAGTGTTGACATTGCTATTAAACTGCAAATTTGACAGATTTTAGCATTTTCTGACGACTAATAATAATACACCATTATTATAAATTCCTCGTACTAGCTAACTTGCTCAAAATTATTAAATACTCTCGTCTCAATTTTATCTTCTGTCTAATTCAATCAATTAAGTGATTAATTATTCAGTTAACCGATTTTTGATAGTGAATGGAAAGTCAAGAGCCATGCGATCTCCAGCTACTGAAATGATTTTTAAAAAATTTCAGAACCAAAATAATTATATTTGGAACAACTTAAATATCACAGTACTCTCATTTCTAGAATATCTTAAGTAACTTTGATTTGTTAAGACTCAGTGCTAAAAAGTAATAACTATACCAAACAGCCATTACAGTAACCAATGCAACTATTGTTCCTTGGGTGATTTTTGAAGTACACAAAGGAGGTTCTGAACGATGACAAGAAGGATTTCGGCAATGCCAATGCTTTTCGCGATTTCTATTTCTATCTTTTTCACTTCTGAACGTTACTTTTTACAAAATATGCATAAAAGTAATTACGAGAAGATTAGTTCCACTATGAAAAATGGCTGAATATTGTGATTGACATTTAGCAAAATAAAAAGCATCTATTACTCAATGACGAGTTTTATTTTTTTCGAAAAAAAACAAACTAATTCATACTTACCTATGATGACATTTATCACGTGAAACACAAGATGGAGCAGTTGAAGCAAGTGACATATGCGATGACATATAGCTCGTTTGATCTGAATATCCCCCAATATCACTAAGACCACTTGCCAAACTTCCAATGTCTTTATTTTTTCTTCGATGTAATTTAGCTAATTTATGTGATAACTTTTCAACAGCTTCAATTTTATGCTCTAAATTTCCAGTCAAACGACAAAGTTCGGTTGCCGCTGCGACTGTCTCATAGAATATCCGTGAATCGTCAACCTGAATATGCATACACTTCGGATACTTCTGTTTTATCATTTTTATCATTCAAAAAAAAAAAAACAGCTCAAGTTACATACTTGTAAGAAGTCACCATTATCAGTTACAGCATCTGGTAAAATTTCAGCTAATTCTTGGGCAATAACACCGACTCGATGACGATTTTCCTCGGATAAACCCCATTTCAACGCCACTTCGGGCTTATATGAATAGCCAACAACACGAATTTGAGCAAGATGTGATAGAGCACTTTTAGTGTCCACCTGAATTAGGAAAAATTACAATAATTTTTTACGAGCTAAGGAACTATTCTTCAAATTCCTCTTACTTTCTAGTCGCCAATTATTTAAAATGCACAGAGCACATAAGTTTTTTGATGCTTTTTTGATTTATAATCAAATCAATAATTATTAAGCAAAGAATCAAATAGTTTTGGAAAATTAACAAAAATTTGCTAAAGATATATGCACTGAGTTTTTAATAAACTTTAATAAAAGTATTACAATGAGAGTAGCACCGTGATTACATAGAAAACATAAAAATGTAAAATACAAAATGCTTTGCAAGACGTAAGTTTGACTGAATGGCGCAAATTTGTGATCATTTTATTATAAAGAATATATTAATCTATGCCTCATTTCAAGCTGCTACTATTGAAATTATCAATTTTCATTTTTTATCCATCGGAAATTATGAATAAATAAACATTGAGAGTTCTATAGAAAAACAGACTTTGTTTTTCACTTTAAAGAAAGGAACCTCATGTATTTGTTCTTTGATTCGTCGATCTGATGGACGGTGTACAACACCAGAACAATAAATATCACCACCAACAGTTAACGGTGCTACCGCTCGATCAGTACCGATTGCTACTGAACCATTGTTGTAGTACAACGTTGAACCATTCTTCTGCCAAGTTGCATCAGAATCAGGTGGCTCGAACTGACCTGGATTTGATGCCTAAAATGATTTTTTAATTACAAATAAAAGTTGAAAAAGAAAATAATTATGAAGTCAAAATCTTCAAAACACATTTCATCTCAAATTTACTTTTACAGAAAAATTTTGTACAGTTCTTTCAGAAGCTTATTAATGCAGCAAAAAATTAACAGAATATTTTGATAATATTCGGGCTTGTTGAAGAATTTTACTAGCTTACTAAAAAACTTTTTTCAATTTTTCCTCATTAACAATCGACACAGCAACAAGAAAAAAAGACATACTCGTACGATTACTTTCTCTGATTGATATGCTTGTACAATGGCATCATGACCATCAGAAGTACACGCAATTAAGCGTACAACGAGAAGGAAGTATTTCTGATCAGGATTCGGACGACCATTCTTACGTTGATTGTTCATCGTTGTTTCAGAGAAGTGTAATCTTGGAACCGTTACTTTTGTCATACGCCGCTCATGAATTTCCAAGCTAAATTCAAGCGCTTTGCACAGAAGCAAACTACTAATTTCATAGAAAGAGGTACGTACAAACTTCAATCTCTATCTCAAATATCTCTTAGCAAGTTTCAAGTTATTAGAACTTGATGCTTTTCGAGTGCTGGTTTTCATTTTGCACATCTTAAGAAGCTTTCAAGCTAAAAAAATTGCTCACTGCCACTAAAGAACAGAAAAATGAGTCGTATTCAAATAAATTATAAAAACAGAAATTAGCATATGTGATTTTTTTCCGAATAAGTAAATTTGAGAATATTCTACAATCGAAAATCATAAAGTTGTGCTCAAATTAATAAAATGCAATGCAATTGAAATTTTAAGAATGAAAGATCGTACTTCAAGCTTTAACTAAAAACAGAGCTATAAAAAGTAATCAAGTAACTTGAAACTACCAGTGTTATTTTGATTTTTCTAATAGATTATTAAAAATAGCTAGACATACGAAACAGGATCATGTGGCACCGGCCGTCGATCTGTTGTTGATTGCTTGATTTGAATTTCAGAAGTTGGCATTTCGCTTTTAACTCCACAAAATGCTAATTTAAATTCTTTTACCATTTTCAGTTCATTGCCTAATTTGACAAAATTGGGTGGATGATTATCGATGGCTTCTATATGAACCGAAATCTGAAGAAGAATTCAACTGCAACGATCAAATTGCTAATTTTAGCCTAGAATAAAATTAAGAAATCAATTTATGTCAAGCTTTTTTGCTACGTTTATAGTAGCATGATTGATATCATATAAAGTGGCCCAATGTTCCTAAAAATTGAAAGCAAAACTAATCAAATTATCGAGATGACTTGAAATTTTTCACTCTCATACATTCTGAATAAATGTAATGATACTGGCCGAGAGCAATTAGATTCAGACCTGAAAATGATTTTTCTTTTGATTTACAAAACAATTATCCATTGTACTATAGTTGAATCCCTTATCAGCCACAACATGCATTTCCAGTTGATGTAGCGGTCGTTGATTGATATCATATAAAGTGGCCCAATGTTCCTCATTAAAAGCGGTGAATTTGATAGCTTGTTGATGGAAAGTATCCTCAAAATCATCTACCGTTGCTATTGGTGATGGTACCACTGTTAACTGACTTGGTAACGAAAATATCTGAAGTAAATAATTGTCATCGGATAATATTATCATTATTTAGTAATAAGAGTAGCAAAAAATATATTATTAGAAAACCGTAATAATAAGCATCTCACTGATTACAACTATGTACAAGCAAACTATTCCACAACTTTTTTTGGGAAAGCTATAAATACCAAAATGATAAGTATATTATCATTTCTTGTTGAAGTAAAATATTTTTTGAGCATGAATTTTAGTAAATAACAATGAGTATTCCTAGACTTATTGTATGAGAATAGTAATTACATAAGCCTCACCAGCAAGTCAAAATTTTTTATAGTTTGTTTAGTTCAGGATATATTAAGAGTATTTTTGGTAGTCACTTGCATTTTCTTTCCTAAATATGCCCACTGTACCTTTTGTGGTTCACTCTTAATACTTGGTGTTGTGGTATTATGCTGTTGTTGGGATTGTAGAGATTGTTGTTGAGAAGGTGGCGGGGGTTGTTCTGATCGAACACGTTTGCGGCTGATTGATCCATCATTATGTGAATTCGAGTTTTCAGCATCATTTCCCGAAGCACTACTACTCACATTACTGCTGCTATATGGTTCCATTTGATAACCACTATTTTGAATTAGATATCCAGTATTAACCGATCGCAAATTTACAGCTGGTGGAGAAACCTGTACAAATCGCTTAATACAACCTTTACTTAAGAAGCAGTTAGGAAAACATGAGGACAGATAATGAAATGATTTCAGATATTGCAACGAAAAACGAAAATTCAACTTTGCTCACAAAATGAATCTTTAGAAGTAACGAATGCTATGAAAATTTGTATTTGCTATTCAATTACGCTAATAATTTACGTTTTAAAATGTTAATATTTCTGTCTAAAATGGTACTTGATAGCATTATTACTTGAGAAATAAAAAAGTCTTTTTCAGTAATTTATATTTTTGGTAAGTGAAATGAAATATCGTCTAGTTTTTTAATTTTGTCAAGGCAACAAAAAAATGCCCCGCAGATTTTAACAAAGCAATATCAAAGCAAAGTAAATCCTTTCATATGCAAATTATTTTCATAAAAAGTGAACTGTCAGTGAAAATGTTGTAATTAAATATTTTTCAGCTTTATCTGATTAGATTTGAGAATAATTTCATGAACAAAAAAACGATCCAAAAGAGTGTAATAATTAAAACCAGAAGTTGTACTAGAACTGATCTTTGCTGACACAACTGGAGAATAAAAATTAATTAGTTATGTGATGAAGTAAATATTGAAGAAGAAGTAGGCTGAATATTACAAAATACCTGGGGTAGAGCAGAAGGTGTTGATTGCGCTGGATATCCACCAGTACTACCAACAAACTCAGGCTGTGGTGATGGTAATACATGCTGCAGTATGCGGGTACCAATGTGGTTTTGCTGCAAAAGTTCTTGTGGTACCAACATATGCGTTGCCAAATCAGGCCGTACGCCAAGTATCAAGCCATTCCCACCTTGCTGAGTACCATGAATTACTGCAATATTGATACTCTTGATTCCTTTCCATGAATACTTTCATCGAAAAAACTTTCAACTTGACTTCAGTGATATAATTAAAATTAATTGATATGAATTAGACATATGTGTAAAGCTTTTATTCTTGAAAACCAAATTATTTGTTTCGCTCTGAAAAAGTTGGCATCTTAGATGACGGAAAAAAGGTCACTTTTACGGTTGAACTATCGTGAAAGAGATAAAGTGTGCAAAAGAAGGTCAATTTTATCTCTTCGTACAGAACTGTCATCATTTATTGGAATCAGTTTCTTCTAACAAAAATCGTTTCATTCTTTGTTAGAAACCTTTCTTGTTGCATTCGATAAATATATTTAACAAAAAGTTGAATATTTCAGTTTTCTATCACTTCCTCTATTAACATTATTTCTTGATAATTCATCTAGTGCACTTGTTCAGAATACAGTAATCATAAATACCCAAAATTTTCACACTCCAAGTGAATTTTTAGATATAGCATTCAGCTGGATTGGAAAATGAGTCTAAGCTGACGTTGTGACAGCACCGAACTCATTCTAAATCGTTCTGATTCAATACTTTTACAGCATAAAATCAATAAGCTTCAAAAATGCTTCCAATCCAGATAATCATTATAAGTTTCTATAGTTTGCTATCCACTACTTCTTTGCTGTTCCACTTTTGTATGAGGAACAAGTAAGAACCCGAAGAAAAATGAAATAAAAGAAGCTAACACTGATAATTCTGATAAGTGTCGGGAGAATACGGTGAATCTGATGTAGAGCTTGGTGATCCAGACGAACCTGCACCTGAGATGTCTGTGATTGGTGGACTGTCAGGCAATCTGAAGATAGTAAAATTTCAAGAAATTAATTTGTTGAGGGGTTAAATTATTTTCAATTTAATGAATGATAAAACATCCTGTATTTTTTAACAAACAACCTCATTTGGTACATATAAAATATTTCTTTAAAAACTAGACTTGGTTCTATCTGATGTCAATTCAGTGTGATACTCATTTTACTTTCTGAAACTTTTTCCCAGGTATAACAATAAAGTTATCAAAAAATAATATATTTTGGCTAAAATTGAATTTCGGATATCGAAAGTTACTTAAATAGATTTAGTTCTCAGTTTCAGAAAAATTATTGAAATGATATTATCAAAGTAGAAATGAATTCAGTTGCAATACAAAACACAAACTATAGCAAAAATTCAATCAACTATTGCCATTATTTTACTCTGACAAATGAATAAACCAATAAATTAAATAATTAGCAAAATGAAAATGAATCAGTTTCATATCGGTGCCAGTAACCGATTCTATATTGACTGACATATTGTTGTTTTAAAATAAATTTGGAATAAAAGGTTCAAGATAAATGGTAGAGTGAAATGACCATCTCCGCCGGTCATGCAATGATCATTAAATATCAATTCAATTTTTCATTCGATATTTTTCATACAAAAAATGCATTTGAAAATATTTCCTAACTGTTTGCAATTAAACCTTCTGAAGTTCCTTATACTTTTTTACTCTTTCTCAAAACTTTAATTCATTTCTAAATGTTCAAATAAATGAATCGAAAAAATCCCAAAGCAATAAAACTAATTTGCATACAAACAAAGAATAAGCCATTTATCTATTTTGTTCGTTTCTATAGCACTTTCAAAAATGCCTCAACTTTTATATCGACTATGAATGAATGGGAAGTGCGCAAAAGAACTTGACATCACATGAAAACTTATCTGATAACTGTTTCGAAAACCTACATGAAGAATGTAGTTTAGAATGAATGCTCAGAACAGACCTTCTGAACATTCTAAACTACACTTTCATAGAATTAAATATATAATAAATTATATATTTAAATAAATTCAGTTTTCATCTTCAGAAAAATTACTGAAATGATATTATTGAAGTGGAGATGAAGTCTGTCGCAGTAAAAAACATATAAATAAGCTGTAGCAAAACTTCAATTAATTAAGTAATTTGTAATGTCTGGAGATCAACTGTTGCAAAGCAAATTATTTTATATATAAATAATTATTCTCTGCAAAAGCACATTAAACTTTCATTCCAACTCTCTGCCATTTCTTCCAAAATATTTAAACTGGCAGAAAGCTACAAGTAGTATTCAAAAATTTTAATTTGATTCCTTTCACATTTTTGGGAAGATTTATTTTAATTGTTAATAATTATTTTTATAGGACTCAAAACTTCAAAATTTACGACATTTTTATGAGTGAATTTTAGTTTTTAGACTCAAAAATCAAATGAAGGGAGAGAAGTTTAAATGAACAGTCCGTCAAGTCACTGCTAATCTATGTACTTTTACTTTTAGCACAACAGCAATTTACATTGTATTTTTTGTTACATTGTTCAGACAAACAATTTAGATCAGAAATTTATGTCACTTTCAGTTTCCAATTTCTGAAGTAAACAAGAAAGAAATTTACCTGGCAGGATTCTGATACATCATTTTACTCGCTGCTTCAGAGATTACAACTGTTGTCGCACTTGGATGTGACTGTTGTAGTGGCGGATGCTGTTGTTGTTGATAATGTTGTTGTTGAATGAGATGATTATGATTATGGAGACTTTGCACCTGTTGAGTAATAAAACGAGTAGTATCCGTTACAGGGCTGTCCAGCGGAGTACTACAATATGCAAATCACACCAGTTATTGTTGAAAATAAATGGAAACTTATGGGATTACAAGAAATAACCATATGACTTTATACCTTACTTTTGGCTACTATAATGCCAGTGTACAGTAACGAATTGTTTTCCAAATTTTTATGTTTTTTGTCACACAAGCAGATATTTCGAGTACAAATTTTTTCGACATTGTTAAAAATTTTTGGATTTCAGTAGTTGGATGATGTATTTGCCGAAATGAAAATTCTCTTTTTATAAACCACAAATTTTTATTCTCAGTAACATTTGGGAACTAAAAATTTTAGATACCAATCACTATTAATATCACAAATTACTATTATTGTCATTGTTATTATTGTTACAATTTATTATTGGTATTATAAATGGTAGTGTCTTATTACCTTAGCTAAGGGCAGGAAAAGCTCAGATAGCATCATCTCATTTCCTAAATGAACGTGAATAAAATCCAAAAACTTTCAAAATTTAAATTAATAATTTGTTTATTCTACATAAGTTTAGGCACATTTCAATTGCTATTTCCAGTGGTCAAGCACTGCACTTCTCCCCTGACCTTTTATTGTTTTAGGATATTCTAAAATTACGCAAAATTTTATTCAAACAGTTGTAATATATCCTCCCACTATTCATTATTCATTATCTCAATTTTTGAGAGAGTGTTGTAAATTTGAGGCAATTAAATTAGTCCACCAATGGCAGCATGAAAATACCACGCATTATCGTGGCAAAAAGAGCTGGAAGTGTTAATCTTTCCGAACACTGATCTTTAACCAAAATCTTATACTTTCCAAGGTTTTTCCTTACGTGGCTAAGTCCATAACGTGAATTAATATACAGGTCTTTGAAATTACACATTTCTGATCAAAATGCATACACGTATTTTGGAATTATTACCTGTGTGAGCATAATCTTCTCACAAGAGGAATAAACTTTGTGGCAGTTGTTAGTAAAGTGCTCTAAACTCTGTTTTAAATTACTCGTACTTTAATAATGCTTTTATGTATCAACCTTTCGATAAGACCAGTAACTTCTGGCCTTCAAAAGCGAAAAATGACCAAATGAAACAAATAAATCAGAAATTAATTAGTGAACTCAAATTCTGTAAAATTTGTAAGGAGAACAATCGCTTACTTAAATTTAACAATAAATAAAATTATTTAAGCAGAACAGTTGACGGCATTTAAATTTGATTTTTTTTTTGAATGTAACTTAAAATTAGGAATAAAATATTGGCGGAAAGCAATATAGTAAATGACTGATCACCTGTTTTCGTCCAAAAATCGTACGATATCAAAATCACCAGTATAATCACTCAATGGATCGTTGAACGCCGTATCCTCTACAACAAATGAATAAAAGTTTTGTAGATAAAAATCAGGAAACTATAATAAATGGATAAATTTTGTCAAACAATATTACGAGTGCAGTTTCTTCTCTTTTGAATACAGAAAGGTTATTAATATTCTTCAACAAAAATTACGAAGTTTACAAAAAGTACACATTGCCTGTGATCATAACAATCACATAAGTTTGTTTTGAAGATCAATTCAATTTAGGTTCATTTGCAATTACTATTCATTTTATTTCCACAATTCTGCCCAAAATTTTAATAGGCATTTAAAATTTACGATTTGCAATAATTAGTTTCCGCGATCTCTTTCAAAAATTATGTCACTTTTCACAGTGATATTTAACAGACTTTTCAACTTCAACTTCATTTCTCTGATCAATCAATCAGTCAATTAATTTGTAATTAATTTAACACTTGCCGTTAAGTGATGACAATATCTTTAAAATTGGCAGTAAATCACAAAAAAGTAAGTTTAAGAAAATTCATATTCTCAAGTGAATGCAACTTTTGTAATTTAGAAGCAGATGTGAATTGCATTGGAAGGAATACTTTGTTAATTTAAATGTTTATTTTGCACTAAAAACTTTACGTAAACTAGAATGGAAAAGCTGAAATTGGGCATCGTAAAATATACAAATTGCTATAAACAGTTCATTTTAAACAATTTAAATAGTAAAACACAAAAATGCAACTGATGGCTTACAAGAGATTTGTTTTGAATCAATTAAGCTGAAAATAAATTTTTGTTGATAATCGTTTATTTTTAATATTACATTAATTTATGATACTGATAGTCGAATTGTACTTCTCAGTGTTGCGTAATATTCATATTCATTGCTTCCGCGTTCAAGTTTAATTCACCCAAACAAAAATAGATTCAAATTAAATCTTAGACTTTCTACAACGATTACTTCTCAGACAATCTCAAACTGCGAAATTGTGATAAGAAGGAAGAAACTCTAATCCCTAAATCACTAAATTCAAGATATGCAATGCAACTAACTGAGGATTGCAAGCGTAAAAGTGTTAGGACAGTAATAAAAAAAACAAGATAAAATTAACTCAAACACCTTTTTGCCTTCGCCTTCCTACGTCTGAAAAGTGTAACGTTTCTTGGTGCCAGGTGGTACAAACTTTGAGCAAAAAAAACAAAAAAAAATGGAAAAAAGATAAAAAAAATAAGCCAATCCTTTTTGCTTTTTCTATTCTTTCCATTGGCGACTCGAAACTAAGTGCAACACTATTAACAAGTAAAACTTACTTTCATTTCCTACATTCTTCGCATATGCACATTTTTATATGTCACCAACAT